AAAGAGGCTCAGAGTAGGTACTCACTAAGTGCATGTTGATTCCTGGAGACTTTGCCAGCCTCAAATCTAGGAAGCTAGCCTCTTTGTCCCCATTGCTGGTGAACCAGAGAGTGTGCATCCATCCTCCCCACAGTTTTTCTGTCCACTCCTTCCCTACCCACCTCCTCTCTCCTCCCATACATGGGCGCCTCTTCTCCCCACTTCCCCTATAAACCTTCCACTAACCCTTCAGGTTTCTACACAGGGGTCATCTTCTCTGGGAAGTCTCCTCAAGACTGAACTGGGTGCTGCCCGCCTAGTGTTTAGCAGTTATAATAACAGCTATAAAGCAGACAGTGAATTTTATTTATTTTATTTATAAAAATGTAGGCAGTTGGGGGAGGGATAAATTAGGGGTTTGGGATTAGCAGATAGAAGCTACTATATATAAAATAGATGAGGGGAGGGTATAGCTCAGTGGTAGAGAGCATGCCTAGCATGCATGAGGTCCTGGGTTCAATCCCTAGTACCTCAATTAAAAATAAATAAACCTAATTACCTCCCTCCCAAAAAAAAACAAACAAAGTTTTTAGTAAAAAAAATAGATAAACAACAATGTCCTACTGTGTAGCACAGGGAACTGTATTCAATATCTTATAATAACCTATAATGAAAAAGAACATATGTATATGTATAACTGAATCACTATACTGTACACCAGAAACTAACACTGTAAATCAACTGACTTCAATAAAATAAAAATTTAGGCAGTTAATTTTTTTTTAGGCAGTTAATTTTTATATATCATTTTGGTAGTCTCCCATGCAAGTCATTTACCCCCATTTTACAGACAAGGAGATTGAGGCTCAGAGTTTGCACAACTAGCCAGTGGTGGAGCTTGAATCCACACCTTAGTCTGACTTCCAAGATGGTGACTTTACTACTCAAACTGCCTCCATGTGTGGCTGTGTGGCTGTCCACCAGGCTCACTTCCACTAGATCGCACACTTTGTGTTTAATGCTATTTTGGACACTTCTAGCACATATCTGGCACACAGTAGATGTTCAGGAAATGCCTGTGAAAGGCTAGTAGGAAGGTGGGTCAGGCAGAAAAATAGACTTTTGCTTCATGAACTCTGGCCTAGGAGCCTGGACACTTTGGGACCTTTGACAAGGGTCTTGCCTTCTCTGAGTCAAGATTGGGGGAAGGTGCAGAATCAGTACCATAACCTCTGAGGCTTCTTCCCAGCACAGCCGTTGCCTCAACACTGGCAGCTCTGCCATTGTCACCTGCAAAAAGGTGGCAGCCAAGTCTCTGCCCCAAGAACAAGCCCTGGAGAGTAGGTAATAGGTGGAGTTGTTGGGCAGCTCACTCCTGCCACCTGGTGGTACTGGGCAGCCTTGCTCACTCTTCTTTCAGACCCATGGATCTAGGGAGAAAAGTCTGAAAAGTCTAGAAGCTATTTATTTGCACACTGCCCTTTCTCTAAGAGTTTTTCTTTCTCTGAAATCCCTTCCCATTCACAGAAAGAAACTGAGCTGAGCTGGATGGAATTAAGACCCTTACAGATCCTAAGCTCCGAAAAGATTGTGGTGCACACCTCTAATGTAAAGGCTTCAAGACAGAAACAATACTAACGGTAAAATAAGTACAAATAAGGAGGTGACACAAAATTCTGATTTCTCTTACAATGATTACTTTAATGCTTAAAAAAATGAAATAAAAACTTTTCTCAAAATTTCCACTTGTTTTAATGCCCCTGCTTTGCTGCCCTGTGTACTAAGCCCTACTGGGTACTGGGTACCCAGGTAGCATACCACGGATCCTGCTTTGAAAAAGAAAATCTTCCTAGTTTAAGCCTATGGGCTACTTGAGGGTACGAGTTGTTGTATTTTAAAAATGTTTGTCTTTCTGGGGACCCCACAGTGCCTGGGAGATAACAGGAGATAATAATCAATGTTTGATTTTTTTTGGTCTTTACCTGAAATGCAGTCCTGGTTGGCCTGCTGCCAGGACCTTTGGGAGACCCTCTCTACTTTGTCACAGTCTTGCTGGGTGCCTAATGCCTAGCTGCATCTTTAGTTTTACTCTTTGCAAGTCAGAACCCTTTCTCCTCCCTCCAGGAAATCTGATTTCAGTTCCAAGAAAGGAACCCTTGAAATTTAGAGCTTGTAGGGACCAAAATACTAAGAATCCCTACCATGTGTTGAATCTTATTTTTTTTTCTATTGGGTTTTATTAAGAACACCCTTTTGTTAAAAAGAAAAAAAAGAATAGCCATTATGAATTTTGTCAAATGTTTTCTTAGCATCTATTATATTGATAATGTGACTTTTCTTGTTTGACATATTAACATGCTCTTTATTAATGACTTTCATTATTAAATATCTATTCTAGCATTCCTGAGATAAACCACAAAGGAACCTTAGTGCTCATGGAAGTCACTGGTTCCCAATTAGATGTAGCCAAATTCATTTATTTTCAGATGAGGAAACAGAGGCAATGAGAGGTAAAGTGGGTCATCTATGCTTTCAAATATGGTCCCTAACTTTTTCATGTTTCTTTTTTCCCTACACAGGTTGTTAAGACCCTGAAAAGTAAGTGCTGAGAGTCCTATGTAGCATTTTCTATATTTCAATCAAGGAGCCACTCAATGAACCCCACTGACTACTAAAATGATGAGTAGGCTTTTATACCAGAGCTGGAGCAAAGAACTGCAGGCTAAATAGGTAGGTGGAAGCTGATAGCTACACCAAATAGAGGACTTCTAGATAGTTGAGAGGCAAACCATTAAAAAGTGAAAAAAGATGGCTTGAGGCATCCCCTCCCCAGGTGAGCTTGAGAAAGAGAAGGATATGCCTCTAACTAGGCCACTGGATGAGTAAAGAACACAGTGACTTTGGGCCGGGCTGGTTAGCTTTGGTTCTCCCTCTGATTATCACATTCCCTCATCCCCCCATGGTGACCTGGAATCCTGGATTTTTCTGGAACTTTACAACTTCAGATATTTCCCTTAAACCAGTGAGATGTTCCAGAAAAAGAGCAGACTATGTATCTCCATCCTTTTCCAATGCTTTGTCCCATGTTGTATCCATGCCCAGATCTGTATCCTTCCCAACAAACAACAAAAGTGCAGGATATAAGAATTAGGCCCTGAACTGGAAAGGCAGTGGGAAGAAGAGGATAAGGCTAAAGAGAGAGCTGAGCCGAATATAACAAAAAAGAAACAGACTCACAGATTCTCTAACAAACTAGTGGTTACCAGTGAGGAGAGGGAAGCAGGTGAGGTGATTAAGAAGTACAAACCATTATGTATAAAATAAGCTACAATGATATATTGTACAGCACAGGGAATATAGCCAATATTTTATAATAACTATAAATGGAGTATAACCTTTAAAAATTGTGAATCACTATATTGTACACCTGTAACTTACATACTATTGTATATCAACTATACTTTGATAATAAAAAAAAAAAAGGGCTGAGCTGGGGGTACCATTCCTATACTCTTCTCAATCTGGCTGAGATAGAAGGGGTCGGGGGAGCAGAGGTGAGCGCTGGAGGGTGGGTTGTCACCTCTGAGCCACAGGTCCCCAGGCTCCTGGAGGCCACATTCTTGCCCTCTCTTTGTCCCTTAGTTGCCATGACTGAGTCCACTGGACAGCATATGTGTCTTCTGCAGGAATTTGGAAGTAACTAGAAAGTGCTCTAAGGGTAGCACTGAAGGGAAACACTGCAGACTTCCTCTCCCTCCTGGGTCAGGCCTGAGAACTGTCCAGGAATGGAACACAGGGTGGGGAGGGGGGCTCTCTGGCAGGGCACAGGCAGCCCTAGATGTCTTGGTCTGCCTCCTCACCCTGTTGAGTAAGGCCTGCCTGCTGTCCCACCCTGTATTCTTGGATTCCTAAGGTCTCCTTAGCTGGCAGGGAAGGCCTAGGGCCCAAGGAGACTTTTGAGGGCTAAGGAACTGGGGAGAGAGAGCCTGTGATCATCCATGTGTGTGTTGAATGTACTAATCTGACTTCTATGATATATGTCTCCTTCTAAGACCTGGCCCCTGTGGTTGTTAGTGTCGCCATGAGTGCCCATGGGTGTGTGACCGTGGCATGTGGTGTGTGCCTTTGTGTGTCAGGGCAGGGGCTCCCTGTGGTGTGCATGTATGTTGGGAGGGGGTGATGGTGAGATCCTGGCTCCCTCTCCTCCTCCTCCATCCCTGCTCCCATCTGGCCTTGATCAGCTGGTCCCTGGGGAGGGAGCCGCGGTTTCGGATACAGGAAAATGTTCCAGGAAGCGGCCACTGTGCTGGGCCCTGCTCTGGCTCCCCCAGCGGAAATTGTTCCAGGAGGGAGGGGGAGAGTGTTGAGATAGGATTAAGGGAGGAGGGGGTGTCTCTTGGATCCCCTCTCTATGGATAAAGCAGGATAAATTGATGGGAAGCTCAGGTCAGCCAGGAACCCGGATGCTGCTACCTAGATCATTTAATGCAGGAAAACTGAGAGCCAGCAAAAGAGGGTTCCCTTTCTTATCTGGTTCTTTTTCTAGTGAAGTTTAAGGATTGGGGATCTGGGTGGCCTCTGGTGGGGGCGTCCCTTTTCTGGCCCTGCTAGCATATACCCAAGCTGGGGACCGGGACACCTGGGTCTTGTCTAAAAGTGGTGTGGCTTGATTGGGGGAGGAGCATAGGATTCAGCCCCCTCTTCTCCCCACAGAGGGGGCTTTGAAGCTGGGATCCAGGACTGGGAGGGCTGCCTAATTGGGATAATGGAGGTTAATGGGGCGCCTGGAGGGGGTGGCCACGCTCCTAGATCAAAGAGGCCAGCTCTTCCCAACCACCACAGCTGGAGGTCACAGCTGGAGGGGGAGGGGCAGGGGCTTCAGGCCAGCCAGCAGGGGGTGCTCTGGCCCCTGAATGCCTGTCCTCTCGAGTCGGACCCCTTCTTCTCTTGGAACTACTTTTGTCTAAAGGGTGCTCGTGGGGAGCGAGGGATGGAGGGATGGAGGAATGTAGGAGTCCTGGGATTCAGACTCTTCTCTGTGTGGATGGATAAGGAAAAGACAGGGCACGAGAGGCTGGCAGCTTGGGGTCCACGAAATGCTAGTGTCTTTGGGACCTGGGGCTCTGCAGGGTCCGGAGGAGGACGCTAGGGATCCAGGTCTGGAGAAAGCCAGGGCTGGGAGGCAGGAATTCTGTCCTCGGTTCAGGCCGTTGAGAAAGGACT